AAGGGGTGTTTTAATAATTCACGTCATTAGGCATAATGATTGGGAAGTTAATAAGTCACACACAAAAGGTGAACTAGAAGAATGTGATTTACCAATTAATTAATTGACAAGTACTGAATAATTAATTAATTGAGTTGGTTATCAATAGGTTTGAATTAATTAATTGGATTAATTAATTCATGGACTATATTTAATTAATTGGATTAATTAAATATTGGACGTGGTTGAATTAAGAGACGAACTAAGCCATTTTGGACTTATATTAAAAGGTTGCTAGAGTTTTGGAAAACTGTAGAGAAAACATATAATTTACATTCTTGCTAGCACAAGAAAAGTGAAACCCTAGTTTTTTTAATTTTGTTCCCTGTGTGAATTTTCATTGGAGGCTGGATAATTGGACAATTGTGGATTATAGATCGTGATTGTTTGAATTCAAGAAAAGCAAATAAGTTTGCAAAATGCAACAAAAATATAATTTCTATCACAATTTCTATTTAAACACGAAGCATATTCTTGATGGGAATTGAAATTTTGTTTAATTTTTTGTTGTGCATGATTAAGTAAATTCCTAACACTATCAACTTCGGTCGACATCACGAAAAATTCGCCACTACCTTCTTTTGTCATAACAGATGGTCTATCGACCTTGGATTCAACATTATTGGCCTGTAAAATCTGTCAATGGAACAGGGAAAGGAAGGACACCGGAGAGAAAGTGGTGGTTATTGTGGTATGGTGCTGCTGATGGAACGATATGTGTACGTTGGTCAGACAAAAATAGAGTGTGAATCTATTATAATGCGACGGTGTGTGCGAATCTATGTGTGGTAGGTTGTGGTACGATCATGTATTTGTGATGGCTGAATCTACGGAGATGATGGTGATTTGTGGACGATGGTTGTATGGAGATGCATGCGTGGTGATGCTATTGATGTTTCGGTTGTTGGCGTGCGATGGTGTTGGCGAGGTGATGTGTGTGATCTATAGTGGTGCAGTGGTGATCTTGTGTATACTGTGTAGATCTGTGTGTGGTAGATTGTGGTACGGTGGTACTGGTAAGGGTGATCTTGTGTCTGTGGTGGTTGAATTTGGGACGTTGTGGTGGTGGTGTAGTGCTAGTGGTGAGTTGTAGACATAAGGTGAGGTGAGGTGCAGGCAATGAAGGTGATGGTGGAGGGTTATAAATTTTAGGTAGCGACTCATTTTGGATAGTGCCTACAGTGGTGGAGGGGATGAAGGTGAAGTGGGGGAGATGAAGGGTAATTTTTTATCATTTAATTAAGGTGACCAATTAATTTGATAATTTGTGATCGAAAAATAAGTTGATCAATTAATTTAATAATTTGTGCTAATTAATTTAGTAATTTGTGGTCGAGAATTAAATTGTGATCAATTAATTTGATAATTTGTGAACGATAAATAAATTGTGACCTATAAAAATGTGTGATTTGCAACGAAATTTGCAATTGTGACCTAAATTTTATGTCATCGTGATTGTAACGTTTCATGAATGTAAGTTGTATTTAATTGTAATATTAAATTGACCTTTAACTTATTTAATTAATACCACTTATTTTTTAAAAGAATTTCATAGATTTGTCAAGTTTGAAAGTGTATATTTATTATTTAAAGGTTGGTAGTTACATATTTTACTTTTTTTTCCAGCATATTTACATATAAAAGTTAGTCAAAAATTATTTTTTAGCTAAATAGGAGGAATTGTGCTGGAAATAATGGGCAAAGACGAATTAGAATAGTGGAAATTATAGGAACTAATACATTTAGAGATCCCATTTCATAAATCATAGGTTTAGTTTACTATTTCAAAAATCTGATTTTTTTAATTAATTAATATATTTTAAATATTAATAATTGTATTATAAAATTAAATATACATATTCATCCCAAACCCTAAAATTCAATTACCAATCTCCTTTCACTCTCTCTCTTCTCACCCTCTCTACCTACCCCACTCTCATCGTTTCAGCCTCTCTGGTCTTTCCTCATCAACTTTGAAGCCCACCTCATTTGACAATGGCAGCAAAGACTGGTTGGTGTTGGTGTCGGTGTTAATGTAGTGTTACCACTCATCTGGTGTCCAGTGTGGTGTTGGTCTTTGGTGTTGGTGCGATGTTACCACTCATCTGGTCATGACATAGTGATGATAATTTACCTCACTCCGCCCCGTCCCAGTGGGGCCTCGCCCTAAATGGGGCAAAAAAACCTACCCCATCGCAAGGCGCGGCGTGGGGCGTAAATGGTCACCCCGTATTCCCGCCCCGAACCCGCCTCGTGAATTTATTTATTTTATTTATTTGATTAAAAGGTTAGGGTTCAACTTGCTTCAGGTAGAAGGATGTGACCTATTTTCTAGTATCCTCAATTGTACAAGTCTTATCAAACTTGAATAATTTATATATATATCATTATACTACTTTGTCAAATTGATATTATATTGATAGAAACACATATAAAAAGATATAACATATTCAAATGAACAAATTTGAAAATCTATATATTATAATAAATTAAAGTGTGTGGGATTACAACTTTTGTGACAATATCAAAGGAAAAACACAAAAAATTTGTTCGTCCTAATAATCAATATTGTGTACCAATAGCGACCATTATATATAAGATTTGTAGTGTTTATTTTAGATATTAACTTTGTCAGCTTGAATATTATCTATATTTTATTGAACTCGAAATTTGGAGGGGGAAAAAAGTGGGGCAGGAAACGGGGCAAGACCCTGCCCCACCCCGCCTCGAACCCATCCCGTCTCCATCACTGTCGTGACGCTATGGTATTGATGTTCGATGTCAGTGCTGTGTTACCACTCATCTAGTCATGACGATGTGCAACACCACTACGATCCACCAAACCACCACCACCGCAACAACGCGGTGTCGTTCTAAAGCAGCCAACGTTGCTACTGCTATCGGGTCAACCGGATTTGGGTTGTAACCAATGGTTATACAATGATTTTGGATCTAATTTTCCAGTAGTTGTGTAGTTATTTTGGATTCGATTTTGTGGTGGTTGTAGTGGTAGTTATTCGATTGTGGTGAGATGATGGTGGTGGTTGTAGCGGGGTTGGTGAGGAAGTGGTGATGAGGTGATTGTGCTAATGGATCGTTTAATTCCTAATTTTTGTGCTGGTGGTCACTGTGGGGTCAAATTGGAATATGGTTGTTTGCTACCGAGGTTGCAATTGCCATTTATTAAGTTCACAATATTTACATTCATAGCAATACAATTCGTACTATTTTGCAGGTCGGTAATCGTATTAGGAATGGTGGTGGTGATTTTGGCGACGACGATGGCCTGTTGCTGGGGACAATGGTGAGGTGGTGATCACAAATTATTTGGTTGATTGTGACTATTAAATTGGTTAACCTGTGACCAATTAAAAGAATAAATTGTAACCAAAAGATAATGTATGCCCTAAAAAATTGTTAATCTATGACCGATAAATTGAAAATTTGTGATAGTATAATAAGTTGTTACTTATAATATTAATGATTTGCGATCAATAAATAAATCGTAACTTACAAATTTTTTGATTAGTGACCGATGAACAGACTTTGATCTATAAAATTTTTAAACTGTGACCATAAAATAATTTGTGACAAAATTTCTTATTTGTGACCAAAAGTTAATAAGTGACTAATTAAATCATTAATTTGTGATCAAATTATATAGATATATGACCTAAATATATTTAATTAATTAATTAAATCATAAATAGATTTTAATAAAAATTTGATTTTTGAACTTTAAAACTTATTTTCTTGATTTTGAAATGTGTGATACGTACATTCTTACTTGTAAAATCTTCTCATTAGAATATTGTCAAACCTAAAAAATGCGTATCCACCCACCTACTCAAAGGTTATTTTTTTCCCCTCACAATTGATAAAGCTCGTTGATTGGTAGGGATTAAAATTAGATTTTTTAAAAATTTTGATAGAAATTGTTGAAATATATGGTTGAACAATTGTGAAATCCATGCTAAATATGATTAACAATAATTGTTTAACTTTGATTTAAATTAAAATATATTTAAATCAATAAGGACAAGTTTTTTACTCTTGTGGTCACATTTTAAATTGCAGATTGGAAACTCCTTTTCGATCTTTCTTCTTATTCACTTGAAGTCTAAAGCAACCATTCTCTTTAAAACCTCTCTATTCCCCATTTTTCTTTTCTTCCTGGATTTTTCTCAACTGCTCGGGTTGAGAAAGAATTAGCTATTCTTTTTGGGCGTTTTCTTGCTAAATGTGGATGTTTGATTGGGTTTTTTTTTACGGGTTTGGGCTTTTATTTATTAGGGATTTTCCGCACTCTCTGGGGGTTAAGTAGCTTGATTTGCCTGATAATTTGTTGAAGAGTGAGATTCCAAAGGGCAGTGATGGCTTGAGCAATTTGAGTGTAAATGATATCCTAGAAAAAGATGAATTAGAAACATATATTGTTCATCTTAGAGCATTTGATGCACAAGTTTTCATATTTAAAAATAAAAGGTACCATCTCATCAGATCTTGAGTGAACTTGTTAACTAGTGCGTTAAATGCCCCAATACGAACAATAAATGTTTTTAATTCGTCTTTTTCTGGGATATCAAATACAGATGTTGTCGAGAAATTATGAAAATTTTGTGTGCAAATAAGATGAACGAGAAATGGAACCCTATATTTGCAAATCACCAAAATAAAACTGTGAATTCTATTACTTGTGATTAGATGAGGAAATGGAGTTTCAAACTGCTTAACATGAAGCATGGAGCGCAGAGAGGCTATTGCTGCTTTTGCTGGAGAAAAAAGAAGTTATTTCCTCATAGCAGTTCATGCAGATATGGAAGTGTTTTTAATATGCAAAATGAGCATCTTAAATTGTAGAAAGCATCGTGCCTTATAAATCTTTCCTATCTATTTCTTAAGCATGCAATGCTTTGTACGTTTTAACACAAATATAGCAATAAATTTAACAGAGTAGCAAATGTGTTCTTTCTTCATCGACCAAGAATTCTCTTAGAAAGCTTGTGATTTTGGTTGTCTTCCAGAATAAGTTATCTGGTAAAATTCCATCAGCTGCTGGTGACTTCAGCGGTTGCAGTTATTGAATATCTCAAGAAACTCATTTTTACGCAGCATTTCTGCAAGTCTTGAACGATTGAAGAAATTGCTAGGCAACATTCCCAAGTCTATTGGGAACTGCTCTTTACTGATGACCTAGTAAGATATCCCCCGGCTTTATGACTTATTTTAGCTTCCTTTGTGCTTTTCTCTCGCTTCGTTTTTAGCAATTTTTATTTGACAAAACCAAGCAACCTGTTAATTGGTTTCGTAGGACTGAGAAAAACTAGAACTTAGTAGGATTCTGAGAAAAACTAGTATAATTGTTCTGAGCATGTTGGCTAATGAATTTTATTCCCAAAGAAATTTTGTCTTTGTAGTCGAGATCGATTTCTAATTTAGCTGTATCATTTGCCTCAAATTGGTTAAGGTGTGTTGCCAGCTTCTTGTGAAAATTTTAATTGCTAGAGTTAATGAAATGTTTAATCTAGAAGATATCTGAATATACTGGTAATGTAAAATGAATTGCATTTAGTATTTGATGGGATCTATGTATTCCTAGTCTGTTGAGTAATTAGTAGAGCATTGCTGTTCACAAAGAAACAATTGAGACAAAAATCTCTTTCTGAGCAACTCCTTATTTCGCACTACCATTCTAACTGAGCTTCTTTTTGGCTTTTGCTGAATTTTTCAGGTCTTGGGCACACAACGAAATAAGTGGCTATATTGCTGCATCCCTTGCAAATCTTGTTTACCTTGTTCATATTGTCGACTTCTCGTCTACTTTTACAAGTTACCATAGTTTGATTTTGGTGATTTGCAAATATGATTGCCATTTCTTGTTCATTCTTCTTTGCATACAAAAAATCTCTTAGCAACATTTGTAAATGATATCCTAGAAAAAGATGAATTAGAAACATATATTGTTCATCTTAGAGCATTTGATGCACAAGTTTTCATATTTAAAAATAAAAGGTACCATCTCATCAGATCTTGAGTGAACTTGTTAACTAGTGCGTTAAATGCCCCAATACGAACAATAAATGTTTTTAATTCGTCTTTTTCTGGGATATCAAATACAGATGTTGTCGAGAAATTATGAAAATTTTGTATGCAAATAAGATGAACGAGAAATGGAACCCTATATTTGCAAATCACCAAAATAAAACTGTGAATTCTATTACTTGTGATTAGATGAGGAAATGGAGTTTCAAACTGCTTAACATGAAGCATGGAGCGCAGAGAGGCTATTGCTGCTTTTGCTGGAGAAAAAAGAAGTTATTTCCTCATAGCAGTTCATGCAGATATGGAAGTGTTTTTAATATGCAAAATGAGCATCTTAAATTGTAGAAAGCATCGTGCCTTATAAATCTTTCCTATCTATTTCTTAAGCATGCAATGCTTTGTACGTTTTAACACAAATATAGCAATAAATTTAACAGAGTAGCAAAAAAACAGATTCGTGTTGTCAACCATTTATTAAAAATAAAGTATTACAAAAATGAACTAGTATCTGAAATTCTAAAAATCATTGTTTTCAATGCATGCCCTCGACTGGGAAAAAAAATATCTTCTTCTAATAAAATGTGATTAACTGATAAACAAATATGTACAGTCCAGGCCGCTGCCAAATCAGAACTTCATTCAAATACGAAGCTCCATCAAAGTAGTACCGAAATATAACTTACCATCAATTACATTTAATAGTCATCCTGATATTTGATGGTTGGTTTGCCATCATCAGAAGTGTAATGATCTGGATGAAGGCTGGAATAAGTACCAGTGGTTGAATCCAAAAATCAAACTGGTGCACTTGGAAGTATTGGCATGGACTAATCGACGAACCTAAGGTGGTCAAATTAACCACGTGAGGTCAAAGAACATTTCTTGGAAAGAATGGACTAGCTCGGGATTTCAAGACTTTCTTGATTGTTCTTCTGGCTCTTGATCCTCATCGACTGAGAAAGCAGCAGATCATGCACTCTACGTTTTAACTGCAAGGCACCGGATAGCACAAACTGTTGGTCAGAGTTGAATCGTGAAGTTTTAGGGGACAATTGTAATCACAGGGTATGTTTAAATAAATTGAAAATATCAATGAGCATCAAGTTATTGATGAAATTTTTTTTAAATGAAGTTAAATTTTCCCTGGCAGAAACAAAGCTCAAAAAACTTGTATATGCTAAGTACGTTCTAATTTCTACATCCTAATTACTAAATCCTAGTTTATATGGTCATTTTCAGGTGCTCTTGGATTCGGAACTATGGCACTGGGATTGCCAATGAAATCAATAATGACACTTTCGTCTGAATTCAGAGGTACAAAGATGAACAAAAATGCTGTCAATGAATTTCTAGTTATGTCAAGGCAGGTATTTCATATTATGCTTTTAATTGCTAGTATTAAATAAAGAACACGAAAATTTGAAGCTAATTAGTAGAAAATCATACTAGAACTATCAATTAGTGTATACAAGCATAAATCGGACTAAAGAGGCCAGAAATCCTTGGGGTTTTCCTTATAGACAAAATACAGACTTGACTCAAGTTCGCAGTTAGTATCTCTGAGAGATGCCTTATAAGAATCCACTTGCATGGGTGAAGCAAGCCCGCATTGGTAATTTATTGGAGACTCCAACTAAAGCGAAGTGGTTTTGGGTTGGATGGTTGGATGCAGTATAAGAGCAAACTGTTCTTAAATGCATGTACAATTGCATACCTGGTTCTTCATGGTTCACTAATTCAATCACCCTAAAAATGTGTTCAAGAAGCAGCAGAAGCTAAGAGACAAACCTCATCAATACTAACTTCACTCTTAATTGATACATGTAAAGCTCCATCAGGTCCCACCTCGCGATACCTCGCCAGCTCCAGATGATCGACATTACCATCTTCCATGATGTAGACAACAGGAGACTCTTGAAGCAGATCACATTTAGAGACAACATCAAGCCAAAGATGGTAGGGGAATCTCTCCCGTATTTCTTTGTAAATGACAAACTGCATAACCGACAATTCACTCAACAGTAGCTTAAGAAAAAATGGTAGAAAATTAAATGCACAAAAGTATTGAAGTACATAACATATTAGAAGAGTGAGAATCATTAAAATGGAAAGACAAGCTTCTATCGCTGCATGCAGGAAAAAAAAGTGTTTTACATTCAGAAAGGAAAACAAAAGCATATAATACCTGATCAGAAGGTGAAGTCCCACATTCTCCAGATAGATCATGGACATAAAGTACAGCAGTCGGCAAATGAGAGAGGACAGCAAGTGTCAACTTTTCTAAGTTATTCCTATCCTCTGTACTTTCACACCAGAAAAAGGTCATGCAACCAGACAAGAAACAAGTGCAGATGTCTAAACATTAATGAACTTAATATGTCTTTTTTAGAAAGAATTCAAGAATTACCTCAATATATAATAATCTATTTTTCACATTAGCTTTTAATGATTAGGCCACTTCAAAAAATTAAAGAAATTTCCAAAATCTATTGTCCTATATTCTGAAAACCAAAAATTATAAACAAAAATATTAAAGGCAGTGCAAGAAATTCAGATATATAGAGCATGTTTGGCAAAAAAAATAGCTATCTTATAAGTTGGGGACCTATAGATTGTGGGGACCAAAATTCACACAACCGTGGATTTTGAAACTTATAAGCTAGATGAGATATTTTGGTCCACACAATTTTTGGGTCCCTAGATTATAAGAAAGCAACTATTTTTTGCCAAACATGCTCATAAAGCGACTATATGAGGAGGTAAAGATTCTATTTCAGCAACTTCATATATTTATAGGAATTTATATTGCATTATTATCAAGAAACCATTGCTAACAGAGGACAGACCTTAATTTTTCTTTGTCCCCTTCAAATCTACCAACTTCAGAATGCAAACAATTTCTAGTTTCTCTCTTGTTTCAGTCACCAGTTTGCTCCTTGAAGATTTATCTTAATACTCCACCAGGGTAATAAACAAGACTAACATGTAACATACAAACCAGAAAACTGTAATCTTATAGGAACAACAGACTAAACCTAATTTCCTATAAATTTATGTTCAGCTACATTAATTCTTTTGCACTCTGTCAGGTCCCCATCACTATGTCTCAGGAGATGTTGATTTTGTCTATTGGTCTACTCTCTCCGCCTGTTCTCTTGGGATCAAATTCCTCCTATAAATCAAGCATCATAAGGTGTATGCAAGACACTCCCAACCACCTATACTGTCATTTCTTTAACTTTGTCCTCAAGTTGTGTCACCTCCATATTTAGGCATACAAGTCTCATTTATCTTAAAGTCACCATTTCAAATATGAAAGAAATAGGAAGAAGATTGCCCATGCCAAAATAAGTTAAATAGTCTACTATCTTTCAAAGTAGCCAACTAGATTTCCCTGGATAATCCATTATCAAACTGTATCTGGAAAGTGATTATGAAGGTCAAGATCAGATATCAAAACTGGTCAATAAACTTAACTCTCAGCTGCTAGATTGGCCTCCTTACAGGAGGGGGTCTGAATGAAATAAAATAATGCTACGTTGCTTTGACAATCACAATAAGTTTTGCTTCATGTAATCATGGAAATTTTTTTATAATACACCCAAAACCAATTCTTGATTGATCTGGTACACTGAGTTGTGGGCAAGGCAACAGCTTCAGCAATATGCACAATAGCAAAGACTGCATCCATTAACTCAAGTCGTATGGAAGGTAAGAAATAAAATTAGTAGCCTCTTACCATCATGTCTCCTCAAGAGACCAGGTGTATCTGTCACCTAAAACCAAATCATAGAGTAAACTTGGTGGCACAAAAGAGACATTAACATATAATAATTCTGTCTGAAACAAAAATATGAACCTGAAAATTCTGGTAGCTCAAAGTTATATGACCCATCAGAATCCCTTTAGTAGTAAAAGGATAATTGCAGACCTGAGATGCATTGCAATGGCCTGGTAATTATTGAATTGGTGGCTTTGCCATGAAATGTGCATTTATCATCAAATTAAATGAAATTAGCAGAAAACTGTAATTTGTGAAGAACAACGAATTAGAGATTAGAAAGTAAGAAAAAGCAAATAGAAAAAATATAACCTAAAAAATTGTATGACATTAAGTGTTAACATTGCAACAACATTAACAAATTCACTCCAACTAAATTATTCATATAGCACATCTTTATGTTGTGTCTATTATATATTCCATAATTTTATTCTTTAGCGTTGGTCTCATATGCGGTGGGATCTCAGATGTAATGTCATGAACCAAGACCGTAGACGACTAATAGATTTCGAACCCATGCCAAATTGCAACACCATAGGTTTCTCAATGATCAAATACAGAATAGCTAGCACATTTCCATCTCAAGGAAGAGATAAGCGTTAGCAGCAGTTTGATTGAAATGAGATTCTCAAAAGCAATATAAATCCACGTAAATGACATCTGATCTCCTAGCACATACCTCAGGTTTCCCTGTTGACAGTAGACGGACCAAAGATGACTTTCCTACATTAGGAGCTCCAACAAGACACAGTGTCGGCGTTTCCAGATCAACCACTGGCATTGCCCGCAAAGTCTGCAATGTCAGCAATTGGACACAGCATTAGAATTTATCATTTTATAATGAAAACAATAAATTAAATTGCTTTATACAAATATATGTACAATAAATAAAATAAAGTGGATAGAAATAAAACATATAAAAAATAAAGAAAGCAATGCATGGTAAAGAATGTCATGAACATTCACCCTTGAGCACTAAAACCGCAACCCCGGCCCGCAAACACAACAAAAAAATAATAATAATAAAATTAAATTAAATTAAATTAAAAAAATTGCAATAAAGGTGAAAGAAATTTAATGAGAAAAGTGTAATATGATGTTACAGAAAATTATGTCCCTGAAAAAACAGAGAACAAAGGATCCTATTACTGCTCATTGTGCAATAATAAAGCATTTCAACAAGATGCGTAAAAGCGGTATAACTTTTTATGAAAAGAAAGATGGCACTTCAGGTTAAGCTGTTCAGGGTACATTATAACAAAAACAAAAGGAAATATCCTCATTGTTTTATCTAGCACTCCAAATGGTACTGCTGCTCCAAGCAGTTTGGACCTAATTATGTACAAACTTTAGGCCATGGATCCTCTGATATAACTATTACCAAATCATTAATTCATACAACCACCCATAAGCATAATAATTTAATTTGCAATGCCTTATAACAGAAACAAAAGAGTACATATTTTGAAAGTCATATACAGTGAGATCAAAAAATTTGTCAATGAATTTTCCTTAACAGGATTGCAAGTTGTAGTTTGACTATGACTCCAGGTCTGTCAGCAATCATACGTGCAATATTTGGATTTCCATGCCCATGCACTTTTATTTGATTCTTCGTTCTTGAAAAATTACCTTAGCAACATTCAACAGTGCATCTACAACTTTTCCTTCACGGTTAAAAAGTTCTTCGATTGTTTTCATTCCCTGAGGAAACACCAAGGCAAACATAAAGATCTTAACTTATAGGAGAATCACAACATGCCTATGATGCTAACCTCACTTAGTCGCTCCTCAGCTTCGCGCTTTGTCAGAGACTGCCAAGAATCACTTAAACATTTAGCAGGTATGTACTTGTTAAAACATATGGAGACAAAAGGCTAATATATAATGTCGTCAAACAAGTTTCAGAAGAAATATAAGATAAAACATAATTGAACTCCATTGCTGATCCAAAAATAAAAGTTTCTTTATTCAAAATAGCTAACTTAAGTGTAATCATCTAGCCCCTTCCAAAGGGAGTTTTTCCATCTTTCGAGAAGTTGAAAATTTTCTGGTTTGGAATCTATCGTATAGGTTATAAAAGTACAATTTATAAACAGTTTTGAAGATATTTTAGAAAGAAAACTGCTAATAGAAGAGAAAAAAGATGGTGAACTTCAATGGAAGTACTTTTCTTTGAATCACCAGGCTTTAGTTTATAGAATTTCTCTGAGTCTTTTGAAACATAGATAAAACAAGGTTTTGTTATATCATATGATGCTCGGACTGGATACGGATACGGGTATCAGGTACGTATTTAAGTGTCGGATCTTCCATTTTTTAAGATTTAGGATACGGGGACATTGCTAAAAAAAGTTCAAATTTAGGACACGGATACGCAGGTACGTCTTCTAAGCTTTAATATTTTATTTTTTTTTACTACCCCAAGATGTCATTTTGAATAGACCAAAATCAATTGTTCAAAGAAGGAAATGAATATTGAATAAGACGTTACGACAAATAAAATAGAATTTTGGGACTTAGTTTTCAATTATAGGAAGTTAATTACTAAATGTTATATAAAATAAAAATAAGGGACTTGATTGCAGTTTGAACTTAATAAAGCATTAAGTAGCACTATATGGAACTCTTTTTCATTTTATACAAACAAAACCCTAAATCACTAATACAGAAAGGACAGAAGTCAAATAAATAAATAAAGAAAAAGAAGAAGAAAAGGGGAAAAAAGAGAGAAATAAGAAGAAGAAGGAAAAACCTAGTGCCGTCACCTTTCTCCACCCTCCCAGAGGGGGCGCTAGATTTATAAAGAGCAGAAACGAGAAAGAAAAGAAGCAAAAACTGTAAAATGTCCTGTTGAAATTCAAAGGATCCAACACATATCCCATACCCATACAATGTCGTGTCGTCTCCGACATGAATACTCCGACCATTTTGAAGAGTCCAAGCATTAGAAGTTATATGAGTTATAAAGTAACAAAAATTAAACTGGCAATCAGCCTAATTCTATTCTGGACCAAGCATATCAAGAAGATCAGGATTTCATCAATGGCAATCATTTATTGTCCTTTATATAATTTTTTATTTTTAATTTTATTTTATTTTTTATTTTTTATATTTTGCATTCAAGTAAAATTTTGATTCAGCCATTCACAGTTTCCAGCAGGGACCGAGCATTAGAAGTTACATGAATTATAAAGTAACAAAAATTAAACTGGCAATCAGCCTAATTCTATTCTGGACCAAGCATATCAAGAAGATCAGGATTTCATCAATGGATTGCATTTATTGTCCTTTATATAATTCTTTCTTTTTTTCCTCTTTTTTTTTTTTTTTAATTCCTTTTGCATTCAAGTAAGATTTTGATACAGCCATTCACAGTTTCCAGCAGGGAGAAAGAATAATTGCTAACTTAAACTAATTGCAACCTTGGCACAGAATGAGGCATATTCTTTTCCAACTGAGACCAGCTTCTTCCGTAGAGCATCAACCTGTCCCAACACCTGTGAAACATAAAGAAGTATAATAATAAAACTAAAGCATAAAAAGGAATAGACAATTTTTGACATGCAACAGTTGTTTACTATACAAAGAACTCCCTAAATAGGAACATCTCAACATCGTGTGAAGTTGATAGCAAGCACACTCATCTATCCAACTCAAAGAGAAACATAGGTCATATAATCTCATGTGCAAGAGGTGAAGAAAAGGAAGAAAAAATGGTAGAAGTGACTCACAAGAAAATAAAAAAAGCCATATTATTATTTTCCAAGATAAATCTAGGATTGAACAAGGAAAAAAATCAAACCTATTCTACTAATAGTGCCATGACCACCATCGGACTTTAGTCTTGAAATATACCTCCTCATAGTTTCCTTCTCCAAAAGTCAACTCAATCAGAGATCGTTCATATGGATGCAGATTTCTTTTGTCCGGGAAGTTTTCCTTGTATGTCCTTAATGGAATGGCAAGTTCCTAAAGATGACAACAAGAGGCCAACATACAAAAGTAAATTCTTTTTTCACATGAAATGAGCAGTGTTGTTAATTATTATATGTATGCACTCGTGAACATCGTTATGTCTAAAAATTACCTTCATTAGCGCATCAAGTTGTTTGGCACCTCTATTTCTTTCGCGCTTTGCCTTGTTAGCAATACCTATGAAACATTTCAACTAAATAGCATAATTCATTCCATGATCAAAGTTCTAATCCAATTCCAACGAAGAGGTGTGTAAAAAAGGAACAATCTTGAAAATCAATTACCTTTTGTAGGTGGGATCCTCTTTGCCTTCCTCAGCGAAGAATATAAGATATCAAATGATGGCATCACCATTGGAAGCTTCTGAAATGCACCGATAGCTTCAATTGGAGCTATTGCTTTTTCCTGGAAGAAAGGCAATGAGACAATTAATGCCTCCTCATAATACTGATGGTTTTTTCATTTAAAGTAAGAGAGATATTAACAACCTAAATCAAAACAAGATTTCAATAATAATAAAACAAGAGCACAAGTAATTTCATGATAATGCATTTTCGTCTTCATAAAAGGGACCACTTTTCAGATGCATAACAGAATGCTCTCTAATAATAATATTGTCAATGCATACATTACTTATGCTTAATCGAAGTCATTAACCTGTAAAAATGTATTAGCACCAAACAGAGTGTGGAAGGACATAGCGTGCATAATCTAGACAACATATATATAAGATAACAAAAACTAACTAATATCAACAAATTTTTAACCCCTGGGAACCTCTGGTAACCAGAAGTAATAATCAAAATCATTTATTTCCCATGACAACCGAAGATGAACTTCAGAAGGTAGATTAGGCCAATTCAATTATATGAAATAACTAACAAAACCAGCACGAAAATCAATAGCAATGTACGACTACAAGTACTACATGAGTGGTGCTATTAAATAAATTAAAGCAGTCCACAAAATAAAAAAATAAAAAAAAATTAATGTTACTAGAAGAAACAGAAATAGTTCTTGAAAGAATGAAGAAATTACCTTTAATTCTCTTGTTTGTTTGGTTGCTACAGTTGTAATATAGCCTCCATGCACATTTTCATAGACAGTGGTCTGCATTTGCTTGCAGAAACAGAAAGTTGGGTACATAATCTTTTTGGGCACAGAAATTAAACCTGCATAGTTGCAGGAAATATGTTTATTAAAACAAAAGGATAAGAAAAAAAGAAAAATTTAGGGGAAAAAAATTTGAATTGTACCTTTATAGAAAATTGAGTGCCCTAACAGTATAGATGACGATGGCTTTTGCCAGACTTGTAATAGACTCGAGCTTCTGTTCATTCTCCCTTTCACACACACCGACAGAGACCAGAGAGAAGTGCTAATGTTAAAGAGGGCGAGGGTTCGAGGAATTGAACGTGAAAGAGGAATCTTAAGAGACCCGGTAAGAAAATAATTTGTTTTTTATTAATTTAATTTATTCCTTGCAATTTGCTATATTTCAACTCTATTTTGATCCATTATTTAGCCCTTGTTTGAACCTCGCTATTTTCGTAAGAATGTATTTTTAAATTGTGTAATGATGAAAGATGTGATATTAAAAAATAAAATAAAAATTGAATTTACGTGTAATTTTATTTTATTAAAATATGTGATTGAAATAAGATCAAATCACTATTAAAAAATCTATTTTAATGAAAAAATGTATTTTAATGAAAAATGGAGCTCAAACAAGGCTTAGAAAAAATAATATTTTGAATAGTAAATTTTTGAAAATTTTGCATTTAAAATGTACAAAAATAATTTTGAATTTACTGCAAGAAGTATTATTGTGTGATTATATGATTAAAAATGAGCATTTAAAAAAAGGGTTTTCAAATAAAGATTGTAAAATAGAGACTTAATGGAGCAACTAGCAAGAAAGAATGGATACTTTAATTTTGGGAAAATTGCAATAGAGGTCCTTAATCTTTTCAATTTTTTCAAAATTTACCTTAACATTTAATTTGTGACAACAAATATTCATAACATTTCATAAATATGCAATAGATGTCTAAATGGATGGAAATCATTCACTTAACCATTAGTTAGCCAAACAATTGGCCTTGATCGCAATTTTAACGAATTTTGAAAGGACAAAATGATAATTTTACATTTTTTACATAAAATAATTAAATAAATAACCCCAAAAATAAAAGAATTACCCACCCCACCGTCATGAAAAAATAGAAAGGCTGATGATCGGCAATCGATACTTCCTTCTTTCTCAACACTCGCCTACACTGGTAGGACACAACGCCAATCGCCACCGCCATCACTACCCACAAAATCAACATTGCCTTGAAAAAGGCAGTCGCCACACCCAAATATCAAAATCAGAAATCAAATCAAATTCAATAGAAAATTGGAAGAAACTGGAACGTCATTTGCATGTTGAATTAGGTAAATTTGAAGCCAAAACTAGAGCAATTTGTGATTCAAATTGAATTCAATTGATGGTATACCCGTAATTGTTTGATGTTGCTGACGGGTTATGTTTTGCAAATTTTGTGAAAAATCATTCCAAAACCGTCATTCCAAATCATTTTGCTTTCGGAGTAGACTGTAGACCTATATCAATGCGAAGAGCTTTGGATGATGTCTCACCATGAATTTGAGCACCTAGGTAAGGTGAACCGGCTGACAACCGTGCATGACTGTGAGTGTCACCAGAATTGTCGAACTTTGTTGTTGGATCGAGCGCCTCCCGTGGCTTTAAGGGCTAATTTTTATCTCCATATAATGTTGTTTGTCCAATTAATTGTGTGAGATATGTTTGTGAAATGAGGCCTTCGGCTAGGGATGACATTTCGACAAATTGGGTGCCAGGTGGTCTGTGTTTTTTCTGGTTTTAGGTGAGGTAGGGTGTGGTGGGTGGAGGATGAGGATTTTTATTTTATTTTTAATTATACTTATTTTAGGGATAATATCTAAGGTTACCATTTTGTTCTTTTTAATTTAGTCAAAGTTTGACTTTTTTGATCAATTAACGGTCAAGTAGATAATTTCCATTCATTTGACTTGTATTGTATATTTATAAAATGTTAGAAACCTTCGTTGGTAAAAATTAAATGTTAGAATAAAGTCTGTAAAAAATGAAAATGTTAGATACTGCTACTACAACTCATCTTTGGTTTAAAGATAAAGTTTCTGGACCACCACGACTCCTCTTCTCGAGAATTCATTTTGTTTAAAGATTAAGTTTGATTTAAATATTTGCACGTGCAATTGTACAATAAGATTTTGGTGGAATAATAATCGTTTTTCTTTTATTGCTAATCTTCCAAAACAATTTATGAGAATGTACATGTTTAATATATATGCACTCTCTTAGCGATCAAAAATGTTCAAGAACTCGAATAATGCGAGAAGAAATAAAAAAATTGAGATGCAAAATCTGGATAAAACCACATGTGGCCCTTTCTTAATAAGCATGAAAAACCTTTGGCGCAGAAAATTAAAGAGGCATAGTCCTTAGTCGATATCACTATTTGACTGAGGTTTTAGAATGTTGGACTTAATTTCTTGAAATTTTAGATATTAGTCAATTTTCACAAAGAGCTTAATATTATTTATTTTGAAAATTATTTTCAAGTTACATATTCTTGTGAAAAATACACCATAGTTATTGAAATTTAATGTTCAAATCAAAAGGACATTTTAAATTACAAAAGGAGATAAAGTCGAATGTAGATTGATTCTAGTATGGGGTAAAGTATATAACAACAACAACAACAACAATAATAATAATAATAATTTAATACCGAAGCTTAATTTCATACTAGTTTGACCTCAATTTACAAATTGTTGGGAGCAACAATGTCGTTATTAAGCACATCGGTTGGATCGCTTAAATGATCAATCAAACGTCATAAAAGACATAGCTTCCTCAATTATTTTTAGATGTGATGGTAAGTGTGATTCTTCAAGTGGTATCAAAGCGAGGGTTCTGGATTCGAGTCACAGGAGTGTGATGTTGAGGGTGTGATTGTCAGGGAGCAACAATGCCGTTTTTAAACCTATGGTTTGGGCCACTTAAATGATGGTGGAATGTCATTTAATTAATCTTCTTTTATTCGAAGCCAGTTGACTTTAAGGTGAGCTGGTTAAAGACCAATCCCATACATATATATTAGTTGAGAGTTGGGATACTTGATCAATCCATTATTCCTCAAAGGTTTGCTATCTGTTACTAATGTTTCAAGGTTATGTGACAATTTTATCAAGGTTTGTGGGCTTATTAGTTCTTCAGGTACCTTCTCTTTACAAATCGATTTTTGGGTTGGGTTTGCTTGTAACGGAATATACTATAAACCTTTTGATGAAATTCTGATGAACATTTCATTTTCTCCTGTAATTATCTGGTGCAAAACTAATATGTGTAGATTGCTCGGAAATGAAAGAAGTACCAATAGTCCTAAATAGCTAAAAATATAATCAGATAATATGTTGTTGCATATTGTCTGTGTGTACATTTTCCTGACTTACTGCATAGTAGAGTCCCAATTTAATGTTTGCTATAGGGAATGCATAAGATGATCTGATATTTTTGTACAATTTCTAGTTGGAAATTAAGCAAAATCTTTAGATATAGAGGATTATAGCCCTTTAGACTGTGTCTAAAATGATGTTAATGTCTAAGCAAGCTTATTCTTTTGTGTAGTAATGTTAAGTATTTTGATACCAAATACAAATTTGGGACTATGATGATTAGTCGAGATGATTTAAATTCAAAGGGTTAATTAGAAACCTATTATTGAATAACATAATAACGTCGACCCAAGAATGCAATTAGTAACCCAAGGTATCAAGATGGACAGAGAATCTCACGTTTGGAACAAGGGAAAAATTCAAAAGTAAAAGTTTAAGTATCACACATTTCAAAATCAAGAAAACAAGTTTCAAACTTCAAAAGTTCTATCTTTATTAAAATTCATTTGTGATTTAATTAATTAGTTAGTTATTTTATTAATTAAATATATTAAGGTCACAAATCTATGTAATTTAGTTACAAATTAACAATTGAGTTAGTCACATATCAAAATTTGTATATATAACAAATTATTTTATGGTCACAATTCAAAAATTTTATACGTCACAATTTGTTCATCAGTTACAAGTCCAAAATTTATAAGTTTCGATTTATTAATTAGTCACAAATCACAAATATAATAAATTATGACTTATTATACAGTCACAAATTATCAAATTATTGGTCACAAATTAATAATTTTTTAAGTCACATTATTTTTTGGTCACAATTTATCGTTTTCATTTGTCACATATTGTTTATTGATCACAGATTAACCAATTTAATGGTTACAGTCAACCAAATCATTTATAACCATCGCCAACACTTGTGACCACTATCTCACTCACCACCATCCCCACCTTACCCCATCCCACCACAACCGCTGCAAGCCATTACCATTGCTGTCGCGACTATCGTAACCAACATACCCACCTCCACCACAGCCACCACTAGATCCAACATACCCTCCGCCAACAAAGCCACCATCATCCAAACACCATGACCACGAGCACCACCACCACCTGTAACCATCGCACCAAATCGTTAACATCATCACCACCACTACCACCCAAACTCCACTTAAACTACTGTGACATCTAAAACCACCATCTTTACCATCGCCGAACACCACCACCACTACCTGGCAACCATCGCACACAACACAGTACAACACCGCACCGACATCACACCACAATTGAACAACACAGAAACCCTTCAACCACCAAAATTAGAAAAAAAAAAGATTTAGGACAAAGCAATGAGAAGGAACACACAACAGACCCACAGCAACAAACGGGAGATCATGCAACGATCTCGTTGGCGATGATTTCGGGCAATGGAACCTAGCAACGGCAAGTTCACAGTAGCCTCAGCATTGTCGTTTGAGGCAACTGCTAACAACAAAGCACTACAGCGACGTTGTCATGAAGGCATATTAGTGTCGCTTGGGGAAGTCCTTTGGTGGCACTTTCTTGTCTTCTGACGGGATTGGGGAGAAAATTATTGTTAGAGAATGAAAGGAGAAAAGGAGAAGGAAGATGCTAAATAGAGAAAAAAATGTAGAGAGGGAAAAAATAAGGGAGATATTAGGTTTGAAAATGAAATGTGGAATATGTAGATTAAATATAATTTAATTTAATTAAGGATACAGTTATTAATGTTTATTTAATTAATTAATATGTTAAAAAAATCTCTGATTTTTGAATAGTTAAACTTCCAACCCGATTTTTAGAATGTCGAATTTTTAAAGTAGAGTGTGATGTAATTTCCACTTGGAGTAATGAGCTCGACGCATTTGTTTCTTGGCCAGCCCAAATGATTGCTTAGCCTATAGGATTCTATATATTGTTGGGTCTTTTGGCACCTTATGAGACATATATACACAAA